GCCAGGGGGGGGGGGGTCCCAAAAGGCCAAGGCAAACCCAAAAAAAAAGGCCCAAAAAAACTAAACAAAAACACCCCCCCGCAAAGCAGGCCGGAAAAGGAAATAGCCCATCCTGCCAGGCCAACCCAAGGCAAGGAGGAGGAATGAACACAGGGCAACTTTGACCCCTCTTTTAAGGCAGTACTGAAAGCAAACCTTTGGGTGTCAAACGCACACTCATTACATGGTGCAAGACAAGGAATGATCACAGGTGGACCAAGGTCACAAGAACATATGTGCCCTCAAACACTGTGTTGTGGCCTGCCAGTGGCTAGTGGAGCTGGCAGCACATTCGGGCAGTGAGGAGGGTGGGGAGGAACATGGGCAAGTCCTGGAGTCTGGGGAAGGCTCTGATGAGGGCTGTGTGTCAGAGGCAGAGAGGGGGACAGAGCCGTCAGACAGTTATCAGCTGTTTTCAGACATCAGTGAGGCAGAGGAACAGCTGGAGCCTGTTCCCAGGGTGCACATGCCAGATGAAGGAAACAGCTAAAGAACAGGGGTCGGCTTGGGAGTAAGGCCACAGGTGGAGGATGAATGGCCCCTCCCAGAGGAAATAAAAGAGGAGCCAAAGGGGAGTGGAGTTTGCAGGAGACATTTAGTTCGCTCACTTGGTTCGTGACTCTCCCAGACTCCTTGCCAGGTTTTGCAGATATCGGCCTGGCAGCTCTCCAAGCCAGATAAGGTCTGTGACCGTAAATCCTTCCTTGAAAGACTTTGCTGGATGTGAATGAGAAGAATCCCCAGTAAATTAATAAAATGGGTTTTTGCCGGGTCAAGGAGTTTGTTTCGTGCTCTTGGGAAGCCTCGGTCAGAACACACTGAAGGTTGCCCAGCCTGGTAGCCAAGCGGTCATTTTGCAAAGGGGGCAGTGGACAATATGGAAGAATACAAGTGGCTCAAATCCGCTCTTTCTACTCTTCTCCAGCCACCATCCATGAGCCGAAACATTTCCTTTCTGTTGACACGGTCAAGCGGCTGAGGTCTATTCCAGTGGTGAAATGCAATTTTTTAAAATACCAGTTCTGTGGGCGTGGCTTAGTGGTCGTGGCAGGGGAAAGATACTGCAAAATCCCCATTCCCTCCCTACTCCTGGGCGAAGGATATTGCAAAATCTCCCTTCCCACCCCACTCTGGGGCCTGCCAGACATGGCATTTGCCGGTTCTCCAAACTACTCAAAATTTCTGCTACCAGTTCTCTAGAATCTGCTGAATTTCACCTCTGCCCCTTCTGAAGCAGTTCAGGATAAAACCTGCTTTCAAAGTAATGAATCATTGCAATTGATCAACTAAAGGAGTTTGCTTTTGTAAATTTTACCTGGTTAGGTTTGCCCGACTTGCTGTGCCAACGCAAAATGAACTGGATTGTGATTTAGGGCAGGGATCCCCAACCCTGGGCTACGAAGCAACAATCCGCAGCATGCCAGAAACCGGGCCGTGCAAACGAGCGAAGCCCCATCCGTGCATGTACCACATTGCAGGCAGTGTGCAAAACCATGTTCCCTCCGGTCCGTGGAAAAACCTCTCTTCACGGAACCAATTCCTGGCGCCCAAAATATTGGGGGGGGGGGGGTGTTGCTGGCTTAGAGTGCTGTGTGAATACAGCTAACCTCTCTTTCCCCAGATTTACCAAGGTCTTATAAGTAAGGGCGCAGTTTGTGCCAAGGGCATGAGCTGATCCCCTCCCTCCGGGCTCACCTCTAAGTCACTGGCTGTGATCTGGCTCAGGTGAATAGACGGGTGGGAGATGGCCCCCTTCACCTCAAAGTCACCACCACCCATGCGACTCCAGGTCTGCATGGAATCCAATTTGTTTCCATCAAGCGGTTGCTCGGCTCCCTTAAAACAAAAGTAAACGCACAAGTGAAATGGGCTGAGCGAAGGGGAAAAAAAGAAAAGAAAAGTAAAAAGCAGATGAGAAGGGTGAGTGAGAGGTGCCAATCAGCTTCTTACACGCAGCTGCCAAAAAGGGGCTCGGCTTGGCGCTCGCCCTGCGACAGTGACCAGGACGGAATCCGGGGACCCCTGGTGGCCTTCAAGGGTAGTACAGGTTGCTTTTGATCTTTCCAGCGCACAAATAAAGACATCTTTTGAT